TTAAAGTTCGGAGAAATCAGCAAGATGGAACTAGTGTGTGATAACCAAGCTGCTCTTCATATTGCGTCAAATCCGGTGTTTCATGAGAGGACTAAACACATTGAGATCGACTGTCACTTTGTCAGAGATAAAATACTTTCAGGAGATATTGTTACAAAATTTGTAAAGTCGAATGATAAACTAGCATATATTTCACTAAGTCTCTTACTGGTTCTCGTATTAGTTAACATGTGTAACAAGCTCGGTACATATGATGTGTATGCACCGGCTTGAGAGGGAGTGTTAGTTTACAGATATGTATAGTGTAGTCTTGTCCCACATTGGAAGAGGAGTAATATCTCCTAGTAGTGTATAGCTATAAATAGGGACATCTTGTATTGTATTTATCATCCAATATCAATAACATATTTTCTCCCGTGCTTTTTCACATCATGCATGCAAAGAAACTAAACTAAATCTTCACAAAATAATTTAAGTGATGTAAGGACTGCTGCTGCAGTGATCTCTCGCAGTATGCCTGATCTAGGCCAATGTTTAATGAGATTAAGACATCAAATAATTTTCGTCCAGTGGTCTTTTAGTTGTTGTCTGCATTTGTCTACAATGGTTCTATACTTTCCACCTCTATTTGTTTCTATATTTTCATGTATCGTTTGCTCTCTTGTGTGTGAATCATCAACCAAATTTTTTATTTATGTTTTACCACTTTCACCTTCTAGAATAAATAATAACTATCCACCTAAATAGGCAGAAGCCAGTAGCACACATGCTTCATAGTCTATGAATACAAAGAACACGAGTCAAAGAGTTTTCATTGTACTACACAAAGCAATAAAATGTGATGAACATGTTTAAGTTCTAGGTGCTAGGATCAGTTTCATTTTTTTGGTTGCTTTTCATGCATCCTATTGTGTCCTTGACTCCATGTCTTGTTGTTGCTTACAGGTTATGAACCTGATTGGTGATGTTAAAGGAAAAGTTGCAGTCATGTTGGATGACATGATTGACACAGCAGGTGGGCTAGATTACATATATTGGACACTCTGGCTAGCCACTAACTGGTCCTGATTTTCTCTTCTACCGTTTCGAAGAGATGTTAATGTCAACTGTAGTGATTTGAGTGTCCTTCTTTATTCGTTGCGTGGAAATATGTTACCTTCTATTATCGTCACTCTTAAGTTTGTGAAGTGTCTCAACAAGAACTTCCATCACAGTTTTTACATAAATTTCCTTAAGTTTCTGTTGCTCTTGCTCTTAGGGACTATTGCCAAAGGTGCAGCACTTCTGCACGATGTGGGAGCAAGGGAAGTTTATGCATGTTGTTCACATGCTGTTTTTAGGTAACATTACTTTGCTTTTGTACAAATATGTGAAAATCTTAGATATATTTTGGAGTAAGCTTTCAGCAGCGTTGTCATTTTGGTAAATATGGATCCATTTTTACGCACGTGATTGTATATGGTGTTTTAACATGCAGCAGGACTGTTGCTGTGTGAAAATTGTTCTATCCTTTTGGTTGTCCATGAATAATGGCTTTTCAGGGTTAAATTCCACTTTTATTGCAACAGTAGCTATTATGGAATGGGAGCATGGTTGATCCCTGTGCAAATATGGAATCACCATACTTATTCAAACTGACATATTAGTCTTCTGTCCATGTGTTGTGGAATTAGAACTGATAATTGGTGCGAGATTATCCAGCATTACCTAATACAAGAGAAAAACTGGTGTAGTAGTCTTTTGTAGTTTCAAAGATTAGATAAAATGATTTCTAGATGTAGAGAATCCCATATGGGAGTAAGTTCAAATCATCATGTAAATATCTTCTCTCGAACATCATCCATATCGTTCAAAGCAAATTTAGGTGTTGAATTGGACATTATGGCCTTATGGGAGGTCTACCTTGTGTTAGACTTGTACAACATTGATGTCAAGACTAGACTTATGATGGCTCTTTTGTGTCTACTGCATACAAATGCTATTGCTCTCTTTCTCTGGCTTTCAACATTTCTGATAAGTTCTTTAGACTGGTTAGTAATTTAGTCATAATGCATATCGCTTGCTGTTGCCTTTATTAATCAACTGTTGCTTATTTTGTGATGGCAGCCCCCCAGCTCTTGAAAGGTTGTCAAGTGGCCTATTTCAAGAGGTTATCACTACAAACACAATTCCAGTGATGGATAAAAACTATTTCCCACAGCTGACTGTTCTTTCAGTTGCAAACCTTCTTGGTGAAACAATTTGGCGCGTGCATGATGATTCTTCTGTGAGTAGCATTTTCCAGTAGGTAGGAGTACAACCCCTCATTTACGCCTTCTGATTCACTAACTCGCTTGTTTAGCTTCTTCGTGCAACATTTTTCTTCAGAATTTTTCTCCCTTATTTCACTGGATCCTCCAATGGCATGAAATTCCTTTTACTTTCTCTACCTTTGGCTTTGTAGCTGCTAGCAGAGTGGACAATATCTTCTATAGTATTTTCACACTTGTTTTTTTTTGTAGCCAAACCTATAGAAACCATTACATTTTCAAATATTTTACTCTAGTTAAATTAGTAGGATCACGGTAACTAAAAGGGGCCAGCACTATAGAAATGAATGAACAGGAGTCTCACCACATATATATTTATGTGAGACTTGGAAGAATAAATTCTTTAGACTGGTTAGTGGTTAGGTGGTTTGGAAATGTGAGGAGGAGCATAGGCATCCCGGTGAGGAGGTGTGAGAGGTTGACATTAGAGGGCCTACGGAGAGGTAGAGGTAGGCCGAAGAAGAAGTGGGGAGAGGTGATTAGGCAAGACATGGCGCAACTTCAGCTGACCGAGGACATGAACCTTGATAGGAAGGTGTGGAGGTCGAGGATTAGGGTAGTAGGGTAGGTGGTCTAGATTGTTCATACCGGTAGTATTAGTACACACTCTCGCATTCTGTTGGTAGTAGATTTCTATGACTACCCGTCGTTTTCTTTCATTTTGATCATCTTATTATCGTGTTGTTTTTATGTTGCTTTTACATGGCTTTTGGGTGCCGTCCATCCTTGTCTATCTTTTCATTAATGTGGTGCTTATGCTTTCCTGAGCCGAGAGTCTATTGGAAACAACCTCTCTACCTTCACAAGATAGTGGTAAAGTCTGCATACACACTACCCTCGCCAGACCCCACAGTGTGGGATGAGACCGGGTATATTGTTGTTGGAAGAATAAAAACAAGAAAAATCTTAGAAATAGTCACATACAATAGATATCCTCTTAACGCAGCACAATGAATAAGTTTTTAATTTTGGGAAAAAGGAATAATAAAAAAGTTTTACACCATTCAAACTTCAAGTGTAAGAGCAACAGATCTCTCTCTCTGCGCATGAATGTATGTATGTATGTATTTGCAGACACACACACTTTACTATATAGATGAAGCAACAGGGCTCTATAGGTATTGTCAATACAGGTTTTTGGAGGGTCAAAAAATTGGGCAAAAATCTATTACTCCCTCCATTTTAGTTTAGTGACCTTGTTTCCATTTTGATCAATTCCAGAAAGTGACCATTTCTATGTTCGAAAAACAACTCAAACTAAAACTTCCTGTGTACCCTTAAGAACAAGTTCTTATAGCCACAAGAATATTATGACACTGTTTAAATCAAAAATTTCAAAATCTTCATCTTTTACTTAAACTTCGTGCCTGATCAAATATGGTCACATAGTAACAGTTTAAAACTGAAGAAACATACGATTGTTGAATAACTCCGACCACATAGTGTCAAACTCTTGTCCTCCTGGGCCAAATGTTTTTGTACTCCAACTACAACAGAATTTGTTAATAATTTCGTAGGAGTACATAGTGGACCGACCACGAGTCCACGACTCGTGAGCTTTTCAAACAAATGTTTGGCTATCACTCAGCAACAATTTTTTTGGGGGGCAAATTAATATGAATGCTAAAAACAATTACCCTTTAGTGAAACACTATTTGGACAGTCAAACTTATTTTGATATAAAATTGAGAGCTGTCACTCGCCAGCAGATTATTGTGAGTGACTGAATGTTACGTAAAGTATTTGGACGCCATCTGTATACTTTGATATGTTCCTTGTTAAAGAAAAAGAAAGGAAAAAAAGAATGTCTGAATATATATGCGGCTACTTAAACTTGTCCAATATTTTCAGCTAGCTACCTCAACCGAGGCTTGTTCTTATTAGATACTTTAACCTTATTGAATATGTGTATATTAAACACAAGTTAATCAATAAATAAAATATGGTGCGTGTATTTCACATGCATTGACGTGACAAAAATTATCAAATAAAAAAAGCCACATGGTTTTTGACTTTAATAAAACTTAACAAAACTTTTTGACATGTTTGTGTTTAATAGACACATATTCAATAAAGTTAGAGTATCTAACAGGAACAAGCCTAAGTTGAAGTATCTAGATGAAAATATTGGTATTCCGCCAAAAAGAATTGTTCCTTGTTTATGTGCTAAGAAAATTGAGAGCTACAAGTACTAATCATGTTTATGAAGAAAAATACCTGAGTCCCTAAAGTTAGTCTTTACGCTGTTCCCCTCGTCACAAAAGTATTTATATGATGGATAAATGTTGTCCAAATTCGTATTTGATGTTTTTTTTTTTTAATTTCATTATTAAAAAAGATTATTGAAAAGTTGTACTCCCCGAATATAGCCCCACAACGCCATTAACCCAATTCATTATTCCAAAGGCAATCAACATGGCCCACTCAACAGCCCAAATATCCCGAATTTGGCTACAAAGGTGACGCTACTTTTTGGGATCTACTATTTACAAGAATTTCTAACATTTCTCCGGCTTAATCAAAGCCATAAACGTGGCCCATTCTATGCCGCACAACAAAAAGGAAACAGCACACGATCAAGACCTTTATCGGATCAGCGAAAGGATCTTTCTGTCAGGTCTAGTCAGCGCCACGTGCTTTGTCTGATTAGAGCGTGTAATTACGACCCTTGCTCGTGCCTCTGCGTATCTGACCCAGCGTGGCAATAGCCGTTTCAGCGGGGGCGGAGAGAACCGTTGATGCGTGGAGGGACAGTGGAGATGCCTTGTTTGGAGAGCGCGTCGAGAACACTCTCCGTGGAAGGAGGTTTTAGGCCTATGGGCAGAGGCAACCATGGCTTGTTTATTGCCTCCTTCACTACCTTATCAATCACTTCCTCTGCCTGCAAAAATCCCACATAGCATTTCAGAGTAATTTTTATAACTAACACCATCTATGGCACGTAAATTCATTATGAATGTATGAAAATATTTGGTACTAGTACGTTTGTTAATTTGTAGTGTTTTTTTTTTAGAATTTGTGCGAATGCAGAAATTTCATTAAGAGTGTTCAACGTTTAAAATTATGTATTTTTAACCTATATACCACCTCCCTGCCCTTACGCATGTTCAACACGGGTATTTGTTCTTTTTCTTCTCTCCTCCTCGCTTTATTGGGAATGGAAAAAAAGAGCAAAAAATGCATTTGAACCTAAAACCTCTTTTTTTTTTTTTTTTTTTTTTTTTTTTTTTTTTTTTTGGCTAATAACCTAAAACCTCCTTGTTCATTGCATTCCTTCGTTCAGCAAGCACTACTAGCAAAAGAATTCACAAGGCTAAACTGAAATATTTGTTTATTGATTTTTGTTCTCCAGTTGCAAAAGTGGGGAAAATATATTTTGTCAGTATAAGTCTCTCCTAGTATACTAACCATAGAGAACTCCCGATATCTGAAATTTAAATCTGAGTTTATATAAAACCATGACAAATTGACAATAGTAAAAGGGACAAACTTACCGGGTGAAGATCAACTGATTTCCCTAGTGTGCTATATCTATTCTGTATTCCCTCAACCCTGTGTAATCCAGTTGCATTCTGCAATTTCCAACCAATGGTGAAGAGTCATGATTCATGAACATAGTCCAAGTGGTCATTCACATAGAATAGCCAGTTTATATTGCTGAATTGAACACAAACATTTAAAGAAGATAGTAGCACCTACGCATTTACCTGAAAATACAATGGACATGATCCGAAAGATGGAGGCGTAACAGGGCAACCCCATACATCAGCATATAGCTGCAGATCATCAAATAACAGTTTTTTTTTTTATAGTTCTTTGAACTCGGAATTCAGTGAAACACTTACTTTCAGCTAAACAGAAGTAATTTAGTTAAGGACATAAATATTACCCCTGGATGAGGCTTCCAGTGCCAAGTCTGGGACGGTTGCCATCCAGGATAGTAAGGCGAACCCCACATATGTGCACCATTTGGGTAGCTACCTGGTGCTACCCAGGGGGGATAGAATTGACCAGTGGCGGGTGCATGATTTGATTGATATGTTGGGAAGGCCATGATAGGTTTATGTGGATAGTAGCTCCTCTGTACTGAATCTCTAGGTTGAGGACGAGGCCATCTTTTCTCATCTTCCTTTGGCAAAATTTGCCTCCGTTGCATCCTAAATTTCTGCATGGAATTTAAAAGGCGATACTGTTCTTAATTAAGCTGAACAAAATATCCGTAAAAACTTTGTAAGATGACACCAACTTTTACTTGGCTTGACAGGCAAAACAGACTGGAGATGACAATGTTTACTAATCTTTCAAATCAGAACATTTTTCGTGAAAAAATTTCAGCCAGAATGTTTCTCATCCTACCAAACAGAGCATGGTTTAGACAAGTTAGGACTTCTTTTTGTTCCTTATAAAGTTATGTATCTTGCTCCCTTCCATCCAACAGGCAAGGCTTGCTTTTGCATTCATTTTCACGTATTGAAATAACTTGAATTAAGAAAGAAAAAAAAGTCTATTAAATCACCATAGAGCAGAAACTCAACCAACCTGGAGATGGCTAGCTACATTATGTCTCGTCAAACCTTCTACTTTCATCAGCTCTAGTATTCGAGAAGGAATGGCTTGATCTATACCGAGTTGCTCTACTGCTTTAACAAATTTCTTGTGTAGTTCAGGTGTCCAGTCTACCTGGATATCCAAAAACAAGTGATCCAAAATAAAGCAGGATTCTAAGATCTATGCTCAGTTAACTACATAATGCTAAAAAAAGCACAAGCCAAACCTATTCTGATTACCAGCCAAATATCAAATTCTATTTATTGTTTTAACACTAGCAGTCATGGACACCCAATACATTATTACTAAGATTGTCAGTCATAGAATTAGTCAGCACTTGTTCCATCTTACCTTCATCTTTTTCTTATTAGCTTTTGTCCCTCTTGAATTATGGAGACCAGATGCTTTACTAGGGTCAGCAGAACGAGTACTGCCATTGCCCGGGCAGTCATTACTTGGTGAACAAGTAGCAATGTGATCCTCCATCTTCTGATCAGCAGCAGAATCATGCTCCTCTTTTGTGATAGCCTCTCCTAGTCGCCCTGGAGAATCCACCAGGGCAGTAGTCTCAGCAACAGAATCGCAACAAGTAGTTTCGACAGATTTTGTGTCCCCTTCATTCACCTCACTATCTTGTTCAGTTGACAAGATAGTATGATCTTGGAAATCACCATCGTCCACTGACCTTACTCCTTGTTTCTGTTGCGGAGTTGAAGGAGCTGGATATTTGTCACAGCAGGATGGTGGTTCTTTTTGGTTTTCCACCATTGAAGTGAAAGGCTCAGCTCCATTAGAATTTTCATTATCTGCTTCACTCTTTACTGGTTGGAGCTCTAGCATGGACAAAAGAGATTCTTTAACCGGCTTAAGCGACTCAGAGATATCCTTTCCTCCAGAATTAAATGCCTGTTCCAGCTAATAAAAGTCAGATTTTCCTCTACATTTAATAAGCTCAACAGTCTGAACTAAGTTTAGGAAGAACCTTGTGAACTACATGCTGCCATATATTTCTTAGTTTATCATCTGATAGTGGTTTCTGAAGGAACTCAACTGCACCAAGCTGCAAACATCAAAATTTCTTTTGATATAATTTAATATTTTTTCACTTAATTACCCAAAAAATTGCATCAAATGAAAATCTGAGAGACGAGATCTCACCGCTATGCACTTCATCATGGTGCTAATAGAGTGAATACTTGACACCACTGAAAAAAAGGGATTAAAGTTGTTCTATCAGAAATATTTCACACTGTAAGAGCAAGTAAAGTTTCTAAGTTTTATTGTTTCATGATATTTCTAAGCAGAGATAATTTGTGCTTTTCACAATATTGTTTTATGATAGGCTGCGTTCGCCGTGGAAGCAGCTATTAATGCTTGCATTAGATTAAGTTGTCTATATCACACCCTTGGGGTGCGGCCCTTTCCCGGACCCTGCGTAAAAGCAGGATACTTTGTACACTGTGTTGCCCTTTTTTACAATATTGTTTTATAAATCGAGAATCACTTTAAAAACAAAAATGATGAAAGATAAAAAAAAAAGGAAAAAGCAATGACTTAACACTGGATTTATCTTAATGAAGTAAGTATCAATTCCAAGAACTTAGGACAAAGATACAACTTTCACTTATAACAGTTGGTAACCACAAGGATAACTAGTAAATTTAAGAGTTTAGCACTTCCGATTATGCCTCTAATTACAATACAGAAGCACTTACTTATAGTCGGCAGATCTTTAGCACTTTCGAGAAATTTGAGACCTCCATCGTTGTTGCCAGCAGTTACCTGTTGACAATTTACAGACACATACATAAACAGTAAGAAAACATTGGCCTTGGTTCTGGTAATAAACCACTATAAAGTGAAAATGGACAAGGAGCACTAAAGCTGTTTTAGTTGCAGCATATAATAACTTAAGAAAATCTGTTTCTCCATAAAACATAAATGTATCACAATCCAAGCTTAATGTCTACATGAAAACAATATGAAGTTGAAGGGTAAAAGTTCCTAGTGTAGAAAAAAAAAAAGCTTTACCTCTACAATGGCTAGATGGAATACTTCCAACTTGCTTGAGATTGCAGACAAAGCTTCAGTCTCATCGCAGAACACGTAAACTGCAAGGACATGAATGATTTCGTCACATGTATGAAGATGAATTTTCAGGAAGGTTCAACAAAAGAAAAAGATTGATAACATTTTCAAATAGAAAAATAGAAGCGACTTATATTGATCAACAAAAGCAAGGATAGCAGCATATGTTGTAAATGAAGCATTGCAACAGATGGAATATCCCAAACATGATCTATCCAATCATTAAAACTTTGCACATATGGTTCGCCTCAAGGCGTTTTAGAGGCTCTCTCAACTCGAGAAGAGTCTTTGCCTTATCAAACATTGCTGGGGATGAGTAGCAAGTTGAGGACTACAAATTAAAGCAGATTCATCCAAAGGCCATAAATAAGAAGAAACTTCTAGGAGATGTCGTAAGCTAATTCGAAAATGAAGGAAGACTACCAAAAGCCTTTGTTACTTGTCAAATCAATCACACTGATAGCTTCAACACTAAGCTGACATTTTGTATAGATTGGTAAATCACCGGTTACTAAACCAGTATACTGTAGAGGCAACTGCTGGCTATCTTTCAAAAGTCAAAGGAAAAAAAACAGGAAGAAAAGTAAATTAACAAAAATGAAAGAAAGAAAGGAGATCTTACCAATATAGTTCATTTGCTCAAGCCTTGATCTCATCTCAGAGGCAGAATTGCAGTCTTTATCAAGAAGAAGAACTTTAAGTCCTTTTGGGAAATCATTCCAACCCAATAATTCATTCTCAGTGCAAACCATTTCTGAACTGGCATCCTTTTCAGGCAGCCAAATTAAAGAGCCTCTAATTAAGATGGTCACTTCTCATCTATCTGCAGACCCAAAATTCTCCTCATCAATCAAAAGCTGTAGAATTTTCAGTAGAAGCATTGAAAAAATTCGTAGTGCAAACCAAACATGATATCATATACTATTTGGTTTAAATTTTCAAGCTAATACATTCAATAATTCCCAGAAAGGAGAGAGCATATAATTAAGTAGTACAAGATATATATCAAAGTTCCTCCCCTGGAGAGTAGAGTACTATGCTATTAGGGAGAGGACATGCTGCAACATATATAAAACAACAAAAACACAAAACCCCGTGTATGAGATCTTCAAATATACTAACAAAGCAAAAGACAACATAGTACTAAACCATGTGAATACACAAACGTCACAATCCCAACATTTGTTTCAAATTACTTGATCAAGAAAAGGAAAAAGAGAAAGCTGTGCATATATGATTAAAACAGAAAATTAAAAGAAAGCTTTTTAATTAGTTTTTCATACCCTTTGATGCATGGATATGTACTATATGATTTTTTTTTGGAGATAATAATAATGCATATAAAAAGAAAAACAAAACTTGTATACTACATATACATTCCCAGTACCTCTGGGAAGTGAAAAGGAAAGTTTAGGAGACCACCTCAGTTTCTAGTATTGTTGTTTGTTTCTTGATTGGGATGTTTTATTGATTGTATATTTAATTTGCATCGACTATGTAGCTGGAAACTGGACAGGGAAATAAACAGAGATATAAAGGAGAGAGAAAGATGGGAGACAGTGAGACTGAAAAAGAGAGAAAACAGTATTATGTATTCAAGAAGAGAGAAAAGAGAGAAGGGCTGCGGGGATTTAAGTGCAGTTACTGCTGCTGCGGACCACAGTATATGCAATTGGCTACCTCACCATTGGTCAAAAAGTTTATAAGATATACTCACAGAGTTTAAGAAAGAAAGAAAACTTATTTAAGTGGGCACAAAATTTAAGAAAATAGAGAAAACTTTTGAACTTGTGACGTAAAATAAAGCACATATATTTTGTGTGGCTATAAATCATTGCATAAAAGTAAATTGTTTCCAAATAAGAAAAGGGATCATTCTTTTTTGTACGCACTAAAAAGGAAATAAGTTAACATAAATTAAAACGGAGAGAGTATGTTATATGTAGGAGTATCTATAATGCAAGTAGAAATGACACCACATAGCTACTATAAACGGCGTCAATTTAAGAATTAGTCGATGCGTCCGAAATTTTTAATTTTTAGATGTTTTGAATTATTCTGAAATTAAAATTTTTAGTTTAAAATTTTAGGACAAAATAAATACCGACTAATCTCTATATAGCATCCCTTATAATGATTATATGTGCACTTGATGGTGTGACTAATTCAAATTCAAGTCGGATAAATACACTAAAATGATAAATCACTCTCGACAAAAAGTTTTTCTATTCAAACATCCTTAAGAGCGGAGAAATCCAATCATCTCAACATACTTCTTGGTGGTAGCACTTAAACTCTTAAATATATTGGGTTTACGAGGAAAAGATCTCTTGAATTTTTTGTATTTAAAACATCAACTACAATTTTCTTTCAAAACCTCTTTGGCTTAAAAGATTAAATGTACTTTTATTGATAAGCATCAAGTGCTAAAAATATTTTAAGTACTAAAATTAATTTTATAAATAAATAATTACGTGTTTAGATAAAAATGCCGAAACTAATAATACACAATTGGTATATGTCATAAAAAAGATTGATAAGCAAATTTTTCATTAAAATAACTGACCATTAAAGGATTTTTTGAAATATAAATTTAAAATTATATTTACATGAAAAGGTACTAACAACAATTTTGGGGCAGTGGCGGAGCCAAGATTTTCATCAAGGGGAGTTAAAATATAAAAAAATAAACTCACTAAGAAGTCAAGGAGTGTCAATGTGTAGTATATATACATATTTTATAAAAATATTACCTAATTACACAGTGTAATTTTTCGACAAAAGGGTATCGATTGACACCTATTAAATGCATGTGGCTCCGCCACTGTGGGGTGGGGGGTTAAAGTTTTTATATCGCGAAGGGTATTTTTAGGACTACAAAGTATATTTGAAGTAAAAAAAAAAGTTAAATCGATTAAACTAAAAGTATTTTTAAGTTGAAAGGCCAACTCTTTAGTTTTAGAAAAAAAGTTGCAAGCATTTGGTATGTCGGTATTAGGGGTGTATATGGATCGGGTTGGTTCAAATTTTATCAAAATCAAACCAAATCAATTATATCGGTTCGAATTGGTTCAGTTTTGTCAGATTTTTGGGTTTTTTTGGTTACGTGACTATTATTTCAATCTTGCATTATTAAAGTTATAGATAAAATTTTGATAAGTGAATATATGTTTACTAAAAATTAAAAAAACAAATATATGATCTATTAAAGTGATCTCATGGGAGAATTATTTTAGTAACACATAGTAGTTTATTTTCTTAGTCGTCTACCAATAATTTTTTGTTGATGTACGCTTTCAGGGTTAACAAAATTTAATAATTAAACATAAAAATCAATATGATACCTAAATAATGATATGTTGTATGTAATTTTAGATTATCGAAATATCACTTCAAATTCGAAAAACATGTAATAAATCTTGACATATGAATATAAAAGAACAAAGAGATGATTGACACATTTCAATCTATTATTTAAAGTAAATAAAAATAAATGTACTTTATAGTTCTATTAAATATTATATCCCAATCTCAAATATTTCTAGATATCTTTTAAATAAAATTCTATACAAAATCTTAAAATTATATATAAAAAATTATATATTTATATGTCGGCTTGGTTCGGATTTTTTACTCAATATCAAACCAAATCAAACCAAATCTAGTCAGATTTTTTAATTGGTTTGATTTGACTTTTCGCTTTGGTGAGATTTTTCGGTTCGGTTTGTACACCCCTAGTCGGTATTAGCACCGTTTTTCGAAATAAAACCTCACATTTGACACCTAAAATACAGCATATTACACTAGCAAAGAGATATAGTTTTTGCACTTCAATTCGACAATTTATACGCAAAGCGTAAACTTTGAATGCGTTCCTTTATCTTTTCTTCATTAGAAAACGAAAAAAAAAGTGCTCATTATTTACTATACAGCCTTTTCCCCATCGCCTTTAAAAGATAGGAGTTCACTTTTGGCTGTTTATTGGCTTCAAAAAATCCAAACCTTTTACCACCTTTTCAACTCAATAATGCAACACTTTCAACTTACCACTTATGATCAAATCAAGCTTTTTCAGTCATTTCTCGTTGCTTTTGTTGTTTATAAAGCTCATTAATTATACTGTGTTCATAATATTTTGAGGAGGATAAGTTGGTCTTTAACTCTTTATATACGATCCAATAGTTACAAAACATGGAAAAACTAAAAAATGATTATTGTTCTTTTTGTTATAAGAAATATCAAATTATGGTGAATATTTACTCTTCCTCCGTGATATTTTTCTTAAATGCTTACTGACATATTCAATGACATATTTTCTATGTTTAATGACAAATTCAATGACATATTTTCTTCATTTTTTATGCCTATATAAAGGCCTTATAATAAATAGAAAAATACACACAATTGAAGAAGATATAAGAATATCTTCTCTCTTTCTCTATATATCTCTTAGTTTATTTTTCCTTGTTCTATACTGTTATTTTGAGTTATATTTTATAACACGTTATCAGTACGATACTCAACCGTCTCAAGAAGCTCTTTGCGAAGACTAAGGTATAACTTTTCTCCTCTTTTAATTATGACTGATATTATGAAAAGAAAGTTCGTTGTCCTTAAAATTACGGGCAAGAACTATATGACATGGGTGTTGGATGCTGAAATCCATTTAGATGCAACGGGTCTTGGAGATGCCATTAAAGACAAAAAATAAAGCATCTACACAAGACTGTGCCAATTCCTTGATTTTCTTGCGATATCACCTTGATGAAGGGTTGAAGATAGAATATCTCACAGTCAAAGATCCACTTGTTTTGTGGAATGGCTTAAAGGAAAGATATGACAACTTAAATTTGGTCACTCTTCCACAAGCACGATAAGACTTTAAGTCTGTTTCTGAACATAATTCTGCGATGTTCATAATTACTTCTAAATTAAAACTCTGTGGACATACTATCACTGACTATGATATGCTTGAAAAAACGTTCACAACGTTTTATGCCTCCAATATGGTCTTGCAACAGCAGTACCGAGAGAAAAGTTTCAAGAAGTATTATGAGTTGAGTTCTCTTCTCCTTGTGGATGAACGAAACAATGACTTGCTCAAGAGAAATCACGAAAATCGACCCACTGGGTCTATACCATTGCTTGAAGTGAATGAGGTGTATTCCCATTATTCTAAGCGTGGAAAAGGTCGTTGCCCTGTTCGCGGTCGTGGCCGTGGCCAAGGAAAAAAATTTTCTGGTGTTAATCACCCCCCAAATAAAAATAACCACCAAAAGTAAAAAGGGCCAAGGGCAAATGGTTCAGAAACTGAATGTCATCGTTGCGGTGGAAAAAGGCATTGGGCAAATATTTGTCGTATACCAAAATATTTGGTTGAGTTTTATCAAGTATCTCTAAAGAATAAAGCCCCTGAAGCTAATTTTGTCTATGAAAATGAATTTGACATCACCCACTTAGATGTGACAGATTTTTTTGAGCACCCTGATGGAAAAATAAATCACTCGATCGGTGATGAATCTATGGTTAAAGATGATTGGGCAGCTTGATTTTTATGTTTTTCTATTCGTAGTATCTAATGAATAAACATCTTATAATTTTTATTGCACTTAATAATACTTCTTATGTAGTTTTTAAAAATATATGTATTTCCGAAATTTCATAAATTTCACAAACAAGGAGTAATATCTAAGTAATTAGTGTCCTAGTCTCACTAATCTTTTAACGCTTTTTGATTTTTCTTTATGTTACTTTAATTCTCTTTAAGAAGATGTTTACAAGCACCCTGGAACAACTTTTGTTACTTCACCCTTAATTTATTTTCATGTACATGGATGAAATATTATGAATAAAGAAAAGAGAAGCACCTAAGTATGTTCTTTTCTTACATGAATCAATTATTTTTCACGCAATGTATAGGAAAATGCAAATAACTTATACATGTAAATAAATTTGTTGTAGTTGTATTAGTCATATGTGTAATGTACTTATAATTGTATTATATTTGATGCTTAATTATTTGTATAATAATTAGAATTTGCCAGAAAATGCATTAAAAGGTCACTATTGAATTATTGGTTTAACTTTATTTTTTTTCTTTTTTCTTTAAAAATACTAATATTTATTCATATACTTCTTTTGTATGTCAAACCATGGGAAGCAAATATGGATATCTTTCAAAGCAAACTTGGATCAAAGTTCAATTGTAAAAATATTTGCTTAATTGATTCA